TAGCTCATGATGTAATCTATGAAAATACTAAGGGTCCGTTTGATAACAAGAATGAAATTTGGGTAGAAAGAAAATGAATTCTATGGAATTGAATTGCCTAAAACTTGTTTTACTGAAAATTGTCAATTAATTGTGTTTAATTGGTATAATTTTTCACTTGAAAAATATTGAAATTTTGGATCTTTTGATATTTGCTTTACTTTATTTTTCATGAAAATTGTCCATTAAAGGAATATAATTTGTTACAATTGGGGATATAATTTGTTTCCATTACAAAAAATAAAATAAAATAAAATAAGCTGCCTAGAAAACCAATTCCCACCAAAGTGGTGGGAATTGATTTACTTCAAAAGGCAAGAAAATGTGGTAAACCAAGAAAAGGTGAAAAACCAATTATCTAGAAAATCTTTCCCATCAAACACTCTAAAAAGTGAAAAATTGCAAAAAGTTTTCCATCTTCCATGGAAAACTTGCCCTATCAAACATGGCTTAAAATTCATATAAAAAGACATAGGGAAAATAATAGAAAAACTAGGATGTAGATCTTTAATTTATTCTCTTGTTCTTTTTTGTCTTGTTCTTGAATTTTTGATGTTTTTCCACCTTGCCTTCTTGAAGAATTGTGTTGAATTCTCCCTGCAAATTGAACTGTTCTCCCCTTGTAAATTAGGTCTTCAAGTTTGTATTTATAATCTCTTAAAATATCAAGACGGATTGGAGTTGCATCGGGCCGAAAAATTTACAAAAAATTTGCTTTCCTTTTTCTCGGGAAGCGGTGCCGCAATGCCCAGGACCAACGCTGCAGCGCCATGATGATTCTCTTGCTGGCGCCACAGTGCCCAATGGCTGGAGTCGCGGCGCAAGCAGTTCTACTAGTTTTCTATCTCTAGCTGGGCGCTGCAGTGCCCAATAGCTGGCGCAGCGACACCCATCTTCCTGCTGATTTTTTGACACTTTCTTGGGCACCTAGGTGCCTGTTACTTTCGTCATTTGTTTGCCTTCGTTTTCGCTTCTTTTCCATTTCATTTTTCTTCTTCTTTCACCTCCTCTTCAAGCCCACTTCTGTGATCATCACGTGATTCCATCTCAAACTCCATAATATGTCATTTTCTCCAATGTACATAAACTACAAAACAACACGAACAAACACATTAAAATGCTCAAAAATGCTCAAGAACTAGCAGAAAACTATGTTTTAAATGTATTAGTTCAATGAGTGATTTACACTCATCAT